GGGGGGGGGGGGGGGGGGGGGGGGGGGGGGGGGGGGGGGGGGGGGGGGGGGGGTGGGGGGGGGGGGGGGGGGGGGGGGGGGGGGGGGGGGGGGGGGGGGGGTGGGGGGGGGGGGGGGGGGGGGGGGGGTGGGGGGGGGTGGGGGGGGGGGGGGGGTGGGGGGGGGGGGGGGGGGGGGTGGGGGGGGGGGGGGGGGGGGTGGGGGGGGGGGGGGGGGAGGGGGGGGTGGGGGGGGGTGGGGGGGGGGGGGGGGGGGGGGGGGGGGGGGTGGGGGGTGGGGGGGGGGGGGGGGGGGGGGGGGGGGGGGGGGGGGGGGGGGGGGGGGGTGGTGGGGGGGGGGGGGGGGGTGGGGGGGGGGGGGGGGGGGGTGGGGGGGGGGGGGTGGGGGGGGGGGGGGGGGGGGGGGGGGGGTGGGGGGGGGGGGGGGGGGGGGGGTGGGGGGGGGTGGGGGGGGGGGGGGGGGGGGGGGGGGGGGGGGGGGGGGGGGGGGGGGGGGGGGGGGGGGGGGGGGGGGGGGGGGGGGGGGGGGGGGGGGGGGGGGGGGGGGGGGGGGGGGGGGGGGGGGGGGGGGGGGGGGGGGTGGGGGGGGGGGGGGGGGGGGGGGGGGGGGGGGGGGGGGGGGGGGGGGGGGGGGGGGGGGGGGGGGGGGGGGGGGGGGGGGGGGGGGTGGGGGGGGGGGGGGGGGGGGGGGGGGGGGGGGGGGGGGGGGGGGGGGGGGGGGGGGGGGGGGGGGTGGGGGGGGGGGGGGGGGGGGGGGGGGGGGGGGGGGGGGTGGGGGTGGGGGGTGGGGGGGGGGGGGGGGGGGGGGGGGGGGGGGGTGGGGGGGGGGGGGGGGGGGGGGTGGGGGGGGGGGGTGGGGGGGGGGGGGTGTGGGGGGGGGTTAAGTGATTGGTACTATTGTCCATCTGTTGACAATCCCGCAGATTTGCTTATCAGAGGAATTTTGGCTGAGAAGTTGGTACTTAATAAAAAATGGTGGTCCAATTTGGCTTCGGAAAAGTTTTGAGGGTTGGCCTAAACAGTGGGTTACCAAATGTAGACAGTGCGGAAATACAAAGAGAGCAAAGAAAAAAAATTCTGCCAAATGTATTGTAGTTCAGTTGGAATTAGTTGAGCAGCTTTGGAACAAATTTTCAGTTTGGAGCAAGTTGCAGAGAGTTGTTGCTTGGTGTTTAAGGTTTATAAAAAATGTGAGGGGGGATAGGATTTTGACTCCCTTCTTAGAAACAAGTGAACTAAAAGAAGCACATGATATTATAATCAGACTGGTCCAAAGAACTGAGTATAAAAAAAAAAATAGCTACTTTAGAGAAAGCGAGAGTGTTAAAGAAAAGTTCTTTAATTTCTCTAAATCCGCTCTTAGACAACAGTGGCATACTATGTGTAGGAGGATGTTTAAGAAATGCAAGCTTGCCAGAGTCTGTGAAACATCAAATAATATTGCCTAAGAATCATCCTGTTACACAAATTATTAGTGACATTTTATCATCATAATTATATGGATGCTGGAGTACAATTAGTTAACTCTGCGATGAAACAAAAGTATTGGATTATAGGATCAAAAAAACCGCAAAACGCAGAGAAATAAGAAAGTGCATTATCTGTGCCAGATTTTGCTCTGAGTTTTCGATGATGGCTGACTTACCTTCTGCGAGAGTGAATCACAGAAGACCATTTCTTAAATCAGGAACTGACTTTTGGGGACCATTCTTGGTCAGCCCTAGACGTGGTAGACAAGTTAAACCACTGAAAATGTGCATGTGTGTGTTTGTATGCTTTGCAACGAAAGCTGTTCATGTAGAACTTGTTAGTGATCTTAGTGCTCAGGCATGTATTGCAGCTCAGAAACGATTCATCGGATCACAAGGAAAGCCAGCTGAAATATTCAGTGATTGTGGAACGAACTTTATTGGCAGAGAATTACTTAAAAATGTGTATGATAGAGGCACTTGGTACTTACTTGACCAACAAAGGCGTTAAATGGACAATGAATGTTCCATCAGCCCATCATTTTGGAGGCCTGTGGGAGGCTGCCATTAAATCGATGAAGTTCCACATGAGACAAGCTATACGATTGCAGATCCTCTCACAAGAATTTTTGACATGTCTAGTGGAGATTGAAGCCATACTGAACTCCCGTCCTTTAATGGCTGCTTCTGAGGATCCAAATGATTTTTCTGTCAGTATGCCGAGTCACTTTATTACCAGGTTCAACTTAAAAAGTGTTCCTGAGCCTGATGTTATAAATGAGAAAATTCCCATCCGTGAACGGTGGAAATTAGTCACACAGATTTCCTGATCGTTTTGGAATCCGTGGTCAAAAGACTACTCGACTCAGTTGCAAGTGGAAACTTCTCAGTGCCGATTTACATGTGAATGACTTAGTGCTAATCAAGGATAAGAACTTGCCGCCACTTAAGTGCAAGATGGCAAAAGTAATTTGCACGTGCTAGGGAACTGACGAAAGAGTAAGGTCAGTCAACTTAAAAACTGTGTCGGGTGAAATGAAAAGATCAATACATAAACCTGTCAGACTTCCTATAAATGACTGATCGATTTATTTCTTTCATGTTTTATAATTATATTTACAGTTTAATTTTTATGTGTTGCATTATATTTCAGTTTATATTTCTAGTTGAGCTGATGACGGGGTCATGGGGGCCCAGTGTGTTATGCCATCCATTGCTCGCCGAAAGAGCGCGCTCTTGCTATTCATAGAAAGCTAAAAATAATTAATTTTTACTTTTAAATGAATGAAGTTTTCTGTGATTTTGTGAAGCGAGTTACATTTGAAGTACTGATGCACCTCACTTTTATACTCTTGGTCAATGTTCGGACTCCCATCTTAACCACTTCATCACCAAGTTTGGCTACTATTATTATTTTGGGCTTCACTCTTCCAATGTCATATCAGAAATGGCAAGAATGTTTTTGGTTTCCTTGTATATATATATATATGATGTTTAATAAGCTCTGTGCCAAATTTGAGCTATTTGATATTTTTTAAGTGAAAACATATCAATGCATACATAATTCTTCCTATCTATAGAGCAATTTACTTCCTCATAAAACACGAAAACATTGCCCAAATTTGTATCACACACAGCTTTAACATTGTGCACATTAAATATTGCAGTTATTTCTTCCCATCTACACATTGATCTATATGTATAAACATTAGAGATCTGTAATATAAATATTACACAGCCTTCACATTTTACTCATTAAATATTGCACAGCTTTTTATGGTGCAAACTTAGCAGGCTATCATATATGGTGACTGGCACCCCTTTAACAGAAAAGTACTTTTATTTTTATTTGCTATATCATTTTATTAAAATTTATTCTTAACTACTTAGTTTAGATAATTTTTAATTTGTGAATTGTTAAAATTTGTTTAGTTTATTAAAAAATGTGGGAAGGATGCTGCCATTCATTCAAAAGGGGGAACTGCCTTCATTTCATTTGATATTTACTACTTAGGGGCTATTTTTTTTTATATAATAGAAACGTTCATTTCAATTTAAAAATTAAAGTCAGTGACCTAAAACTGTGACAGTATGTTACAGTAAAAGTGAAAAACTGTTAGTTTCACTCGCATGTGTGTTGGATTTGTGTAATGCTTATGGGATCCCACAAAATTTTCGTAATTCCCCACACCAAAAAGTTTAAGAAACCCTGCTTTAAAGTAACGATAAAGCAACCTCAGGAAAAGTGTTTTTATGCAGAACTTTTGGACATTAGAGGTAAATACCTGCTCTGTAGCCTGGTTGAAAGGAGTGAGTGGTATTAGAGACAAGGATTTTATCCATGTTAAGTCATGTTCAAATCTAAAATCTTCTTCCAATCCTAAAAGGTATGCAAGTAGATTATTCAATACCAGATGGAAATTTTTCTCCTCTAAAAACTTTTTTCACGTGTGAAAAGAAAACATTGGACAGATCAAACCATTGCAAGAAAAACTGCCTCATTATCCAAGATTTTGAATTTAGCAAATCTGTTTTCGTGACATTGTTTTTAATAAAAATCGTAGCCTTTCTGCATGGTGTGCTAACAATGATGTGTCTTGTCATCTCGACTTCCTGTGTCATATGGAAGGAGAGTTAAGCTAGTTTTCACAGGAATTGTGTCCTGATAAAGCCTTTTCATTAATTATGGTGATCCTGTTTGGCATTTTCTATTGTAAGAGGCCTGTGTGGCTGTTGCAAAGCAGCTGTGCCTTTATAATTTTTGTTAATATAATAATAATTTTTAAAAGTTACTGCTTTTTCATTAGAAAAATATGAAAATAATGTTAAATAAGGGACCTTTACTTTCTAAGAAATTTGTTTATTTCTATTACAAACATGTTGAAATGCTTTTGAAATGGATCTCCCCCCCCCTGCCTAATTTTTTCCTTGTAATATAAAAAATGCAAAAATATATAAATTACTCATTTAGCTACGTAATACTATTAAATTTAATCTTTTTTATTACTACTTCTACTTTATTAACTAGTTTGTTAAAACTTAGTACTTCAGCTTTTTGTTTTAATAAATCCATTAGCTACAATCTTGATCATCAGATACATTCAGTTTTTTTATTGCAGGTTGCAGTTATTCATATCCATAATCCCATTCAGTATGCTTGTGTTTGGTACAGCTTGTTAAGGCTGTATTTGGTTTCCTGCTTTCTTGATAGCTGGTACTCATCATAAAAATATCAGAAACATAAATCCTCTTTTATTTAAAACTTTGACAGCTAGCATACATCCCATATTTTAAAATTATTGTGCTTGGAAAATAATCTAAAAATTAAATAATTAATTGTTAAATGTATGTAGCTATGAGATATTTTTTTAAATTATAATTATGTTTAAAAAATAAAACCATTTGTTTTTAAAATGAATTTAGTAGGCGAAAAGCCATAATTTGACAATGACTCATATGGATACTTGCTTTTTTTAGCTAAGAATTTAATAAATGTAGAATTTTCATTTTGTAATATTATTACAAATTTTAGGTACAAGGATGGCTCTGATCATATGGGAGAACACCGGGATGATGAGAAAGATCTTGTTCCAGAAGCTCCTATTGCTTCTTTATCTTTTGGTCAAGCAAGGGATTTTATATTCAGGCACAAAGACTGTAGAAAGAAAACTGAAAAGCCTGATGCCTCTCTTAATGTTAGGAAACTTGAACTTGAGCATGGTAGTCTTCTTCTGATGGAGTGGCCTACTAATAAATTTTGGTATCATAGTCTTCCTATTAGGAAAAAAGCTCCTAATGTAAGAATCAATTTAACTTTCAGACAAATGGTCATAAAATAAAATTATGTATGTGTAGGATGCTGTTATGTAAATTTAAAATTAAAGATTGTTTCTGAGTTTGTGCTGCGTGTGATTTTTACTGCATAAAACGGGGTTCGTACGATCCTTAAGAGTCCTTGGATTTTTTGTAACCGATTTTTGGTCCTTAAAAGTTGTTAATTTTGGCCAAAATCAGCAGAAGGTCTTTCATTTTTAACCATCTGAAATTTCTGTCTATGTTTACGACTGCCATTCTGGAGGAGTATTTTTGGTGATTCACTGACATATATGGTTATCTTTTGACATATATATGTGTTTCTAGTTCTAATATAAATGATGGGATACTTGGAGTCTCTAAGCAAGAAGTGAAACATAAGCATTTCAAAATTCATTTTTTCTAATAAAGAGAGCTCTTAAACAACTTTTCACTTTTGGGGATGTGAATTCTTTTATTAAACTGTTCTAAATTTGGCCAACATTTTGGCGATTTTAAAATCAGTTTTTATAGAAAATTTTTAATTCCAAGATCTGAGAATTTTTCGACGATTTTTTTTTAAAGCATCGTAACATTGATAAATTTCATTAAAATAATGGTAATATATTGAAGTTATATTTAAAAAATTACATTAAAATAAAACATTTTTATTTTTCACTGTCATATTATAAAGTTTCATTTTTGCAACTTATACAATATTTTGAATCTGAAAAATAAACAAGATATAATGATATAAAGCACAATTTATGAAACAGCTCCTAGCAAAAGCAAAATTAGCTATGTAATTAATTAAAAATGTGTTCTTTTTAATTTTTTCATAGTAAGAGTTTTTCCCATGTAATTGTCTCAGAATATGCATCAGTTTTCTCTATAAAATTAATTTTACACTTTTTCCCTCCTTTTTTTTCAAAATATTTCTGGCTTTTTGCTGTTACAGAATTGGTAGGGATAGTTTTTCTTTAGTATTTTAGACATTGCAGCTTGGAAAGTTTAGAAGGATTTGAAGGAAAGATTTATAGACCCACGATTCTAGAAGACTCGAGAAGTATGTGACAAAATGAAAAATGTCTTCATGGTATCAACACATAATGGATGTACAGTACAAAGTCCATAATCCGGAATGATCTATAATCCGGACCTCGAAGCCACAAACATTTTTTTTGTAGGCTTTATGCATGCGCGTTTAGCATAAGAAACGAAGCAACTTAAACAACTTACATTGAAAGATATGTTTAATAAAGTAAACAAATAAATATTAAGTTTTTTTTGTAAATTTTGATACCCTTTAGATCATAATTGCTCTTTATTTGATAAATTATGGTTTCATATTTTTAATTGTATAATTTCCACATGCCATCTTACCAGATTTAAATTGATGATCTATAATCCGGGAAAACCCCTATTCTGGAATCGCTGAAGTCCCGACGAGTCCGGATGACGGACTTTGTTCTGTATTTTATGGGAAGTTTGCGATGAATTTCTTACTTTTTGGAGAACGTCTGGAAGAACAATGAAAACATAATATTTGAATGTTTTATTCCTGATACTGGAATCTTTTTCTGAACATGTTTATCTTCCCTGTATTTTCTCTACTTTTCACTAGACTCAAGCATGGAAAATATCCAAAATGCTTCTAATCTTATCACATGGGCAGGCATTACAGGAAGGGATTTTTTTATTAATAAAGAAATTGAAAACTTACATTTTAAAAGGTTCATCTAATATGTCTTAATGCATCATACACAGAGCTGGCACTAAACATTTTCCCACCTGATGCAATCTCTGTGGATTCTAAATTCTGCTTCCAATGTCTGCTCTAAATTCTAAAAATTCTGCCACACCAGCTCTGTAACCGGCCTTTACCATATATATTTCATATTTCTTCTGAATGTTCATATTACTAAAGAAATAAAATTAGCCACTTTTTCTATACTTTTATTTTTTTTTAATTTTTTTTTTTTTTTTTAGAATAACAGAAATCAAATTAAATTAAAAAATTCTAAAATGAAAAGGAAACATGTTGAAGAAAGAAACTGAATACACAAAGAGAAAATTATTCTTCAAAGGTATATTCAGTTATTATTCTGTAAATTACCCAATTCATTATGATTTTAGCCTTTACTTTAATTTCCCATTTCTATTTCCTCATATGATAGAGTTATTGATAGCATCAGAACATGCCTTTATGTTCTAAGTTTTTTTAAATAAGAGGCTTATTTAAACCTTTGTCTGATATTGTAGTTACTTTCAAACATAGCAATAATTTGCTTCACTTCTGCTGGGGGGGTTGGACTACAGTACAAAGTCCGTAATCCGGACATCCATTATCCGGAATGATCTATAATCCGGACCTCAAAGCCACAAACTTACGCATGCGCTTTTAATGCGTGTAAAGCGTTTACCCATGCGCACTTCCAATAGTGAAGAAAGTGACAGAAAGGTATTTCGGTTAAGTTAGTCGGCATTCTCGACACAGCAGCAGGACTTGAACAGTGGAACTTTGTAACTGAACAAGAAATTATGTCTGTTTATAGAATTAAAGAGAAAGCATTAGCACACAAACGAAGCAACTTGAACAACTTACATTGAAAGGAATGTTTAATAAAGTAAACAAATAAATATCAAGCTTTTTTTTTTTTGTAAATTTTGATACCCTTTAGATCATAATTGCTCTTTATTTCATAAATTACGGTTTCATACTTTCTGCATGCCATCTTACCAGATTTAAATTGATGATCTATAATCCGGAATCGCCGAAGTCGCAGTGAGTCTGGATTACGGACTTTGTACTGTATTTAACTTTTACCAGATAAAGTAAACCCTCATAGAGGTACATTGTGGAGAGGTTGACAAGTTAGGAGATAAAGCACGCAGAAACTAGCAAGAGCATTGGTTTGCATCTTGAGACAAATCTCTTAATTGTTAGAAAAGATGCTTAAAGAAATCGATATAAACTAGCCAAAATGTTTGGCAAGGCATCAAATTAAAATGATGGATAAATATTTTGTTGAGTGTTATTGTTGGCAAAGCTAGCTTTTAATGTGTAATTATCCTAATATCGCTTAACAGTCAATGTCATAAATTACATGTATTTTAAACTGTGAAATTTTATTAGATTTTTATTTTAATAGGGCTTTTTTAAGAAAAATTAAAATTTAATAGTGGCCATGTAAATCCATAATGACTAAGGTTATCTAACTACCTAATTTAATTATTTATAACTAACTGCTTACCCTTAAAAATTATCTGTACATATTAAAGCGAGTTATTGCTTTTCATTAATACTCACTGTGGTCACAAGATAAAACACTAAAATGTAAAAATTCAAGTAAAACTTATTTTATGCATCTAGTCAGGAACAACTTATTACCTCTGGTGCTTTTATGGCTTATTGGAACTTTACAGTATATTAACTAGTTTACAACTGCTGGAACGTTACACGAAGCTACGACACTAACTGCATCAAACAGAGCCTGACTAACTTTCAACACTTGCCAACTGTTACACGTGGTTGCGGCTGTGTGCAACAACAAACTATGAGTACTGGAACTTGCCAGAGCTTTTAAGGGTGAATTCATAACATGCCATAAGAGCCAATTTTTGGATAACAAAAACATGTAATCGCATTGCAATATTAAAAATTATTTAGTACAGTTGACAGACAATCACGTTGGAGGAAAGCGAGCGACCAACCGCACCGACGACGAGACGTGACTGTGTGTCGCCGAAATCACCTTCGGTTACAGTTAGTGATAACGGCGCGCGGTTGGCGAGTGCAACACAAGTTTACAGAGTCGCCACAGTACTCCCCCTCCAGTGGCAACGAATTAAAGGTACCGAGGGTTAAATCGGACTCTACGTCCGGAACGTGTATGTTGAGGAGCACTTGTTTTCTGGGATCCAGGCACAGGAACTGATGTAGTAGCAGATACTGATTCAGAAGTCAAACAACAAAGTTGGGTAGTAGCAGATGTTGGTGTAGACCCAATAAATAGATGAAGGAGGTGGGACCTGATGTACCAGTCTCGACAGTTTGTGGTGCTAAGATAAAGGCTGGTTTGAGACGATCAAGGCTCACCACTGTCTCTTTGTCGCCGATTAGTATCCGATAGTTCTTGGATGTGCCTAGGTGTGACCCTGTATAGGTAGGCTCCAAGGACTTTTTTGATGCATCACACTGTAAGAACACATGTGAGGATGTAGTGAGTTCTTTAGGCACAAACACAGGTCTTGAAGGATGTATGCTTGTGGGCTTAGGGTATAATGCAGCCATGGTTTCACGCAATTGTTTGAGGAATGCATGGGGCTGGACATTGGGTGAGTTTTTTGCAGGATTTATAAAATCTCCCGGTAAGTAAATTGGTACCATAAACCATTTCAGCACTTGAAGAACCCAGGTCCTCTTTGATAGCCGTTCTGAGTCCTAACAACACAGTAGGAAGGACATCAACCCAGTGAATAGCAGTATGGCATCTAATGGCCTGTTTAAGAGAGCGATGGGACCTCTCGACAAGTCCATTGGAATTCGGGTGGTACGGTGATGTACGGATCTTTATAGTTCCCAAGAATTTTGTTAGTGCAGTAAATAATTGAGATTCGAACTGCCGTCCTTGGTCCGTGGTAACGTACTCGAGTACCCCAAACCGTGAAATCCATACAGAAAAAAAAAGTTTTTGCCACAGTGTCGGCTGACATATCTGCAATATGGATAGCCTCTGCCCAGCGTGTGTATCTGTCGACACACGTAAGAAGATATGTATAACCTAGTGATGGGGGCAAGGGTCCAACCAAATCGATATGTACATGGCTAAAGCGAGCAGATGGTAACTCAAAGCGTTGACATGGAGTTCGAGTGTGCCTGTGAATTTTTGATTTTTGACAATCTGCACATGCCCTCGCCCATGCAGCGATGTCCTTCTGCATACCAGGCCATACAAAACGCTGTTGAATTAACATGCGAGAAGCACGGATGCCAGGATGGGATAAATTATGGAGGCCGCTAAAATACCATGCAGGAATTTCAGTGGAATGTATGGCCGCACCACATTACCTTGCACATCGCAGTACAGTGAAAGATCTGGTTCTA